AATAAACTGATAAATGTTCATGGGCTGATGAGTAATATTTCTTAATAAATTATAATTGTTTTAATATTTATTATTTATTAATAAATAATACTTACTAATAAATAATAATTTATACTGAATAAGTAATAATCAGCCACACACAGGTGCCAGGTTCTGCCCCACTTTGGGGAGGCCCAGCTCGTGTGTGTGATGTCATGCGCATGATGCCCACATGTGACGCCACATGAGGCCTGCCACAGCTGTGGGGAGGCCCAATGCAGGCTGCAGAATATTTCGGCGGGGCCCTTAGCTCCTCCCATGGTGCCCCTGCAGCCACATACATATATTTCTGTATACTAATGTATTAATTCTGTGTGTGAATGTATGGCGATGTTATATACTTTTGATTCTTTATCCCTGCCTTGTTTCAGTGATGTATCAGATCTACTGCTTCTCTCCATCTGCTCTTGGTCCCTGGTCTAGTTTATCACAAGTAACTCTGCCTATTTTTGCTTCCTTCTAGGCTTCTTGATTCTTCACCTTCTTCCCTGCTGAAATTTTAAGGTGTCGGTCAAGAGTTTGTGCACCCATGGAAAAACTCTAGGCAGCCTTTGTTAAGGAAAGCAGAAGAGCAAACGATTAACAAAGCCCGCCAATAGTTAATGGTTTGCAAAGGTTATTGGAACTTTGTGCACTGGAGGATAGCAGTTCAGGCTCTTAAAATAGTGAGATCCTCTCAGCCAGAACAGATTGCCTGTCTATCCTGGCACTTAAAGACATATTATTAATTATCATATAGGCATGGGCAATGCCACTTTTGCTTTTTCAAAATGCTTCTGGGAGCACTAAACGCTGACTTTATGAGCCCTGTGTAAAATGAAAAGACTCTCAAAGACACTACAGATTCCTTCCATGCCTCTAAATGACTCTCTGGCATTTGTGCTTTTCACAGCACACATGCTGTTCAACTTCAAAAGCACATCCATGAAGCGAAACAGCCAGTGGGCCAGTCTGCAGCAGAAGTACACCACCAACACACAGCAGCAGCAGCAAAGGCAGACAAATGGGAGGTGGAATCGAAAACACGTGAGGGGAAATAATGCCCTGAACTTTGCCTGGATGAGGCTTGGCTGGTCACTGTCGCTTAGCCCAACTTTCTTCAAAGGCAGGATAACGTCGTCAGGATAAAATTGGATAATGCAATGTATGCCAAGGTCAGGATAGACATGGTATAGAAGTTGGTGAACCCACAAACTATGGTTTTGCATAATCTCATCTACTTGGAAGTCTCTTTCTTTCTTTCTTTCTTTCTTTCTTTCTTTCTTTCTTTCTTTTGAGGAGAAGAATAGACACAGACCTGTAATCCAAAGAGGGGAGTATCTTCGCCAGAGTTCCCCTGAAATCCTAGTACTTTTGCTCCACCTTCCTCTGGCTCTTGAATGTTCACCCACTGCTCTCTGATGGCAGCAGCCCTACGGTTGTCCTCCTTGCCTTCTTTATCACAAGGGCAGTCAAGGTGGGTGTGGAGGGAGGCCAGCCTAGGTGGCTTTTGTAAGGCTGGAATGCAGCCTATTGTACAAAGGGATGAGTCACATCTCTTGCTCCCCCCATTTTGCCTCTGAACCCACCCAATACTGACAGGAAGGCTTCTCATGAGATCGATAGGTGGTTTTTTATGGTTGCAGATCAGTCAAATTGCCCATGAGGGAAGCCTCTGGCTGAAAAAGGTTTAGCTGCTAATCCAGGAGAGGAGAACCTCTCTAGTGATTCCAGCATCAAGCCTGATCAATCCAGGGAGAGGGAGAGCACACACCTAAAAGCAGAGCAAGGCAGTGCTTCCTCTGTGTTTATTCAAGCAGCCTATTCACTTTCACAATTGCAAACAAGACCTGTCATTTACAAACTTGCCTTGGATGCGTCTGATCCTAGAATAGCACTGTGACTGAACTCTCAATCAACAAGGTTTATGCACCGAGACTACAAAGCCTAGCATGCTGTCTGCTCTTGTCCTGTCCTCTCACACTTTCCTATCTGTGCTTTGTAGTCACCTGTGTCAAGGAGAGGGTTGCTTTGCCTGAGGGGCCCCACCCAGAGATACTTGCTCACAGGTTCATGACAACCTGCAGCCCCGCCTTCCATCTCATTGAAGAACATGCTTCTACAATTTCTCTTTAGGGTGACAAAAGAGGACAGAGCTCCTATGGAATTCCAGAAAGTGTGCCTGCTGAGATTGCCCCTTCCTCTTGAAGGGGAAGGAGTCCTGCCCTCATTGTCATCTGACCACCCTTCTTATCAGGTGCTACATAGGCAGAAATATATTGCCGTTGTTTGGGAGCAATGTAGTGAAAAAAGCGCAGGTGGAAATTTATATTTCCTTATTAAGTTGGGGGAGTGAAAGAAATTGCATGCTATAGTGGTGTTGTGAATGATGCTCTTTACCTTGCACTTGGTATGGCCAGTCATTGAGAGAGGACAATGGGCACTGATGGGTATTTGGTTGCTTTAAACTCCTGAAATGTGAGCCACACTCTCCTGCTAGGAATGAAAGCAGCTTTACTTGAGAGAGGATACACAAGGAGAAGTGAAGAGCAGCAGTTTAGATCAGGCTGTGGACCTTGTTCAAGACTTCAGGTTGCGAGGCTAACAGTGCTTTGAGACTAGTGCTTCCTGCCTGTGTGCCTGCTTCTGCACATCTGCAATGCCAGCTCCAGCTGTGTAACAGACAGAAAGGAAACATACCCTATAAGGTTGCCATGAATTTTCATTGCTCACGGAAGGGAGAACATGAAATTGTACATAACCAAGGCTGCCCTCCTGCTCATTATGCATTTTCAAGGAAAGATTAAAAATGGCCAATTGTGAAAATATCCAATCAAATGTTGCTTAGTCCAGTGCACAAGGGAAGAGATATGCAGTCTAAAATGCAGTATTTTCTTCTTTCGATCTTATTAGTCAGTTAAAGCATAGACAATATGCCTTCAGGACTCAAATACTCAAAGGCTCATGGCCTTTGGAAGCTGCAGTCTAATTCAATTCCCGCAACTACTGCCTCATCCAGGGCCTCTTCTATTAAAAGCCCAACTGCATTTCTGGTGACATTTAGTACAGTGACTAAAAATTTAAATGTGTACAAATTGGATCCTAGAATGTAAGCCAACAGTCAGCCAAGCTCTTATCATTTTTATTTTTTAAAATACTCAGAATTTTGCAGGGTCCTGGCAAAACGACTGGAGCAATTTAATAAAAGGTTGGGTTTGACCGGATGATGATAAGATTGTAAAGAGACAACGCTCAGCTATTCAGTGTGACAAATACTATTCAGGATGACCTAACGGGGAAATTACAATCTTTTTTTTAAAGGCAAGGATTTTTCTTTGCATTTGATATACATTTCTCAGTTGGGGCTGGTTTTGTTTCACAATTTCCTGCTTTGTCTTCTACTTCTGGTTTGCCAGAAGTGGCTTTGTCATGCTGGCCACACGACCCAGAAGCTGAACGCCGGCTCCCTTGGCCAATAAAGCTAGATGAACACCGCAACCCCATAGTCGGTCACGACGGGACCTAATGGCCAGGGGTCCCTTTACCTTTAATAGGAACTATAAACATCAACAAGAGGTAGGTCCTAAATAGTTTGCGTCATTCTTCAATATGTGAAGACACCTTAAAAAACAAACCAACTCAAATGTTGACTCAGAGTTGCCTTGAGGTGATTCACCAGGCTTCCAGTAGAAGCTGTCTGTAATAATCCATCCCAAGGGAGATTTCACTTCCAGGTTAGGGTTTAAAACTAACATGCTCTTTCCAAAAAAAGAGCTTAATGATAATGAGAGTCCAACAGAGCTATCAACTGATGGGAGACATAATGACACCTTGGCTCAGATGAGGAAGGTGTACAGACCTTGTTCCCTTTTATCTCCTCTGAAACATCATTTGAAAGGAAGCAACAAGGTACCACACATGCAGAGCCTTCATGCTTCTTGGTGTCTGGTTCTGGGAGGCTCTGTTTCAGAAGTTTCATCCATGTAGGATGGAGAGAGAGAACGAAGAGCATGAGCATAACTCCCATTTATCTCATCAGAACAATGCTAGATGCTTTGGGGCATGAATGAAGGGAATAGCTTGGCTGCTGACAAGTTGTAATTTTCTGAGAATGCACAATGGCTAGTTTGTACAAATGAACATGTGCAATCAAAGACAGTGCTGCTTTCTGGAGAAAAAGGTGCCTGCACAAAACTGTACAGAAGATTGCTCTCAATTGTAATCATATAAGAGTGCAAATATCTTGGTTATATTCAGGCATTCAGATGTCCAGCCACTTTCAAGCAATGTTGATATCCACAGCTTCTCCACTTGGAACAAAAGAATTGGCAAAAGGCAACTCTTCCCTTTTTTCCTCCCCATTCTGCCTTATTTAAATATGTATATGAACCTATAGCAAGATACTACCAAGTTAAAAACTGGGATTTTGTCTCCATCTTTTTACACCTTTGAGAAAATGGGCTATTCTAAATATGACACAATATTCTAAGCCCTTGCAATGAATAGTGCTGCATTCCAATGCTCTCCCCTAACAGTTGTTGTTGTTTAGTCATTTAATCGTGTCCGACTCTTCGTGACCCCATGGACCAGAGCATGCCAGGCACTCCTGTCTTCCACTGCCTCCCACAGTTTGGTCAAACTCATGTTTGTAGCATTGAGAACACTGTCCAACCATCTTGTTCTCTGTCATCCCCTTCTCTTTGTGCCCTCAATGCCTTAACAGTATATAAGGATTACTTCAGACTCTTAACTCTCTGCCATGGCCTCTTTAAGTAGCCTACACTCACTGACAAATGTTTCTGCGCATTTATCAATTTAATAAAATTTGCATACTGCTTAATTGCTAAAACCTGTAAGCACAAAACCTGTAAACATCAAACAAAAATATAGATTAAAATTATCTATAAAATTCAGAAGTTAAACACATTGACCTCCTCATTCAAGCAAAAGGCAACGTAAGTCTCTTTAAATAATGTGCTTACCTTTCTTGGCTTCACTTTGTCATGGTAGTCATACTGAAAGATTCCCTTATAGCTAAGTCCTAACCACCAAGGGATTCCCTGCTTGTCCTGGTGTAAAGAAAACATGTGCACATATACCAGAGTCAATGTTATTCTGAAGGGGGTTTAGCCAAAATGTAGAGGCAAAGGTAGCAAGAATCCTCTGCCTTTATTAATTTCAAATGTGTTTGGTATAGTTGGACAGTCTTCGACGGTTGGAACATTCCTTAACAGAGGTTGCTTTCAAACAAGCAGTTTTCATGTTAATTGTTAACCTTCACTCACTTTTGACAGTGAATGTCATTGTCAATAAATTGCATTCAGGGGTTTTTGTGTGTGTTGTCCTCCTGTCTTGCTTTTTTTAATCCCAATTTGTGATAATTTTTTACCAGTTTAAATGAAACCAAAGTGCCAACCTGTGTGGACTAGCAAAACACTATCAAACTTTTCACGGCCCTCCAGATGTTGTTGCACTACACCTCCCTGACCCCTGACTATGCTGGCTGGGGCTGATGGGCATTCTAGTTCAGAAACATCTGGAAGAAGAAGAGGAGTTTGGATTTGATATCCCGCCTTTCACTCCCTTTAAGGAGTCTCAAAGTGGCTCACATTCTCCTTTCCCTTCCTCCCCCACAACAAACCCTCTGTGAGGTGAGTGGGGCTGAGAGACTTCAAAGAAGTGTGACTGGCCCAAGGTCACCCAGCAGCTGCAGGTGGAGGAGCAGAGACGCAAACCCGGTTCCCCAGATTACGAGACAACCGCTCCTAACCACTATACCACACTGGCTCTGGAGGGCCACAGGTTGTGCACTGCTGCTTTAAAAGGTTACTGCAGCCTTTTCCTTTCAGCTTCTGTTCCTTATATAGTTTCCTGTTGGGCGTGGCAGGGGCATAACCGATGAATAGCCTCTTAATGCTCAGTTGCTGTTCAGGGTGTATGAAAGGAGTGTGTTTGTATGTGTTGGTAGGGTATTATTCACAATTTGCAACTAAAACACTTAAGTTCACCTAGAACCAAATAAATTAAACCATAAAGATTTACAATGGAATTGCACTGCTCCATTATACTAAACCACTTAGAAGCCATTTTGAAATATAAGCAGTATATAAATTAATAAAACAATAATAATATTGGCATTCTGCCACCTTCCAAGGAGACACCTGTTTAGTCAGACAACCCTCTGAATTTGAACTTCTGATCTTCTTGTATTAACTGTTTATTGTTTTAATTGCCAGGCTTTTTTACTGTATTGTACATTCTAATTAAGGATGCTTTAATACTCTGTGTATTATAATTATGTATGGATTTTATAAGTGATTCTTGCAAATCACTTAGATTCCATTTTGGCATATAAGCAGTCTATCAATCAAATAAATAAGCAATTTCAGATGCATTATTTTTCTGTTTAAAGTGCATCACCATGAAGTTAATAAAGCTATTTATTGATCTTAACACAGGAAATAGACTAGAATTTTCATTACTGTGTAAATGAAGAATGATTTCTGACGTAATTGTTTGTGATAAACCAATCCAATTCCATCAAATAACACTTTTCAGTTGAAACGTACCTTAACTGCATAATAATGGACTCCGTATGTTGGAAGAGATTCTACAATGCTCATGTAACTGTGGAGGGAAGTGCAAAATAACAGTGTCACACAGACAACAAGGGGAGGCAATGGGAAAAAAACCCTCATGAACATTTGGGCACCCTTTCCAGGATGTGTTAATGACACAAATTCTAAAACTGATGAGTAGGAGTGGATTCATATCACTGGATTGGACCCAGAAGCATGTTTTATTTATCTCCATCTTGATGGGAAGCTGTGAGGACTAGTAGGGTAAATTGTTAGACATTTTAAAAAGGATTTGTAGATTTTGTTAAGCTTCAATGAGACATCCCATCACCTTTCACATCATTGTAACATATTCCATGAAATACTGGATTATATTGAAGTATTTATTGGAGTGGCACGTTCAAATTCTTTGCAATGAAATCTAAATTAAAGACAATAACAATATGCCTAGAGGAGAACTTGCAGTCTGAAAGAGCATATGTTAAACAGTGGCTTTCAAACATTCTGCCTTCAGGGAACCCTTTCTTTAAGAATTTTTATGTCAAGAGACCCCCAAACATATTGAAACACCCATCTGTGTTAGGGTGCAGTTCTAGATCTTCTTAGGCTTTGCTGTTGCCCTGTGTCAATTGAGTACACACTTTAGAACCCAGCCAATATTCTCCTGCAACTGTGGATTGTGGCCAATAATCAGTTGTGGTAGGAAGACTATTTTTTAAGGCTTGGCCAACATTAGTCATCTTCTCACTGAGGAACTCCTGATAAGTTTCTGAAGGACCTCAGTGTTTCCTGGAACACAGCCTGAAAACCACTGCACTAAAATAGAAAACGCTATGTAATTACTTGTAGAATGTTCAACTCCCCCCTCCATGTTACATCCCAGAGACAAAGTTCATCATAGTAGAATCCCACTTCCCAACTTACTTGACAATGGCTTGACCTCTCGTCTGCCCATTTAGCTTCTTGTAATGCTCAATAACTCGGTCCTCACTTTAAAGGAGAGAAACAGAATCTTATTACCTTTAGCACAGCTGAAAAAACAGTGCAGGACCTCCACTGTAGAAGAGGCATCTCATAAAATGGTGGCTATCAGCCCAAGGATTCCCAGAGGTCTAAAAATACTACGTGATGGAAAGCAGAAAAACAAAGCTAGCTAATACAAAAAACATTTATTTTAAAAAACTTTTATGTTTATAAATTAAAACAAGAACTACTACAAGAACTACATACACAGAGGCAGAAATGCAGCAAAAACAGAGATCTATTTCAAGAATTTCTTCCTCCCTTAACCATGGATAACACTACCCAGATCCATCTTAACCAGGAGAAAAATGCTGGTTGGAAATCCTGATTATAATGAAACCCATGGTTACAGTGAAATATAATCTTGTAGATACAACAATCTGGCTTAATCTGGCAAGTGAAAAGAAGCAGAAGTGTATGTTGGGGTGGGGCATATCTGTGCATGCAATCTGTGGCCCACTCTTGATCTCTTAACTATTTGCTCTGGGCCAGAGAATTATACAAACGGAAGTATGTTGAGCAGTGCTTCCCAAGCTTGGGTTGCCAGATGTTGTTGGACTCTCAACTCCCATAACAGTCAGCATGGCCAATGGTCAGGGATGATGGCATATGTGGCCCAACATTATTGGGGGACCCAAGACTGGGAAAGGCTGCTTTAGGGCCACGGTGAAGAAAGCTTAAATATGATTAGTGCACAAATAGCCAACTTGGTGTTCTCCAAATGCCATTGGACCAACTCCTATCAGTCCCAGCCATCATGGTTTGACATCAGGGATGATGGAAGTTGGTCCAGCAACATCTGGCAACTATTACTTGTTTGGTGCAATGTTTGAATTAACAGACCATGGTTTGTAACCAGCCATCAAATCAGAAAGAGAAACTCTTTGTGCTAACAATGAATGAAAAAACCCCCATTAATTATTCCTCTGCCTCCAATGCCTACTGAACCCAAACAAGTATGAGATTTAAAAGCTTGAACCATATCTTGGTAGAGGCAAACCATGATTTAGTGTGATGTATTAATTGAGCCAAAATTTCAGAAACAGAACCTATCCCTTTCCTAATTTCTGTACAAACAGATGATTCCAAACAGAGAAATTAACTGGAGAGAAAGGCCTCTAAGTGGTTGAATTTCAGCTGTTCATCTTTTCAGCAGACCACTGACAGCTGCACATGGGCTGAGGCCACCTGTTAACATGACAGTGACTCCAAACTGTCACTATTTTGGTGGCAGGTAAACTCATTCATAATGCATTTTACTTCAGATGGCTAATTCTTTGATAGGCATGAAATGGCACTAAAACTAAAGTGCCCCTGCATGCCTGTCAGCTTGTAAACATATCTGTGAACTCCTTCAAATCAAATGAAAGACATTGCACAGACAATAAGGTTCATATGCATGTTAACACAAAGGTTGAAAAAACCCCAGATTGATAGCATCAAAACTAGCCACGACAAAGGCTGCCCAGGATCTGAAACCCGCTTCAAATGAAGGTTTTGAATCCTTCAGGTGGAGATGTTAAGATGCCCTTTCCACATCCAGCTGCAGGCCTGGTGGGCAGGGATGAAGCAGCAGCAACTGGGTGGCAGCAGCGGCAGCTCTACAGGTTGTTCTCCCAGCACTTTGTGCAGCTCCTTCACCCCACATTAGTACACAACCACAAGCACAGCCCTCCAGATCTGCCAGCAGTTCTAAGCACAGCAGAAATAGTTTGCTGTTTTCTCCATTCTCTGTGGAGCCTGATAGATGAGAGCCTGTGCTCTTTTCCTGGCTGCTGCCCTCACCAAAGGGACCAGAATGTTAACAGCAAATGTTGGTAGCTCAACACCAATCCAAACATATCATGGAGCAGAGTATAGCCAGAAAAACAAAATAAATGCAATCTGCTTTGTAACTGGGGAGGGAGGGAGGGAGGGAGGGAGGGAGGATGAATGTGCACTCACAAAAGACCAATTTCAAATTCATTAAACCTGTAAACCTAAAAACATTCCATGCTGACCATGATTTATCAGTGTGTTTACACTAGGGTTTTTTTTTAATATTTGGAAGAGCTCTCTACTGAAGTAGAGAAGTAAACTTCTAAGGAATATCAAATTATGAATACAATAATGTTGCCAAATTACTGGGAGAGTATAGTAAAACTGTAGTAACAAGTTACCTGAGGTGAAATCACTGGGTTTTATTACTCCACTGAAAACAGTAACTTTTTAAACCTTGGCCTTATCTTGCAACTCTTGTTCATAGATATTAATCTTTTGTCCTTCCTCATCCAAGAGGAGCAGTCAGATTTAACCAAAAGCTACTTGGAAGAGTAAGAACTGCATTGTAGATCTTGGTGAATAGCTGTAAACATCCTATTTTGAGATATCTCCTTCTATGGCTACAAGTGAAAAAAACATTCACCAAGTGAGTTTACATAAGCAGGTGACCATCAGGCAACTCGGATCCCCTGAGATACAATTCACAAGATCAGTAAATGAGGTGTTATGAAGCTCTTCCTGGGCACTTCCCATTGTAAGCAAATGACTGAATACTTGTTTAAATATAAAAGTTCTCTGTGCATAAAAATAGCTCCCAAGGAGAAGGGATCTAATATGCTAGCCTTGTATGTATAGTGATTTTTTTTGGGGGGGGGAGCATTCAGCCACACAATTCCCCCACCTGCCACCTGAAATGGTGCAGCCCAGTTCTACCACCTCATCTGCTAGGAACCAAATGCAGATTTTATAAAAGGCAGAAAGTGTGTTGACATGAAAACTGCAGAGTCCTGAAAACAGATAATCTCTAGCTGACTGTCCCAGGCAGTAAAGATGATTATCCCAGAGAATTATGCTCTTTAGGGAAAGCAGTGCCAGTGGAAAAACAGAAGCTTATACAAAGGCAACATGTAGGTTACATTTAGCTTTTTAAAGGTTTTTTTTGTGTTGAATGAATTATTGAAAGAATCCTGAGAATATGGAGATTAAAGGCTAATCTGTGGCCTTCCAGATGTTGCTGAATACAACTCCCATCCTCCTGGCCAGGCAGGCTGGGGATGGCTGGCTGCAAGAGCGCATGGAGGGCCACAGGGTCCCTTCTCTGCCCTGGCCTTTATGCTTGCAGAGAAAGACAGTGAGAGCAGGCAGTGCATTTGAAAGGCCAAGTAGTTAGATTTTCTGTTATTACAAAAACAAAACAGGTAAATTGAGGTTCGTCACAGCACTACAGATCTATGTATGCCTCGAGCAGGGATTTTAAATACAGCTACTTGTATTTGTACACTATTTGGAAACTTTCCTGGGGTGGACTCAGAAACTATATTAGAATTTCACAGGAAACTTGAGCCCTGCCTAAGCTAATGCTAATTTTTCAGAATTAGTACCTGGCCAAGAGAAATAGGTCAGTCCTCCCCAGGGGCACTGGGGAGAGAATAAACAAGGATTCCCAAACTACAACATGAAAACCACACTCCCTTTCTGCCATCAAATTATGAGAGTGGAGAAATTAAAGGAGCAGCAGAAAAGAGGAGTTCCCCACCCACTACTGGGCTTCGAGTCAAATGCTTTAAAGAGAGACATGAAAGAGCCACCAACAGCAAAGCAGCAAAATGAATTTTGCCTGTACTTTTCCTAAACCAATTCGTATTTGCATTGATGAAAAGGGTGGGAGAGGCAGACGGAGGAACTTCTCCTCAGGGCATTTTGAATTTAAATAGGATGCTTCCATCTCCCCTATATGTGCCTGCACATTTCATTCTCAGCCTAGGGAGAAGAGGAAAGGCTACAACATGGAACATGTTTACGGGGCTCATATTAAGTCTCAAAGTCTCACATAGATGAGAGGTTGAAAATCCAGTCCTGTCTCCAATAATTATCATAGCTAGTATGCAGCAAAAAAGAAGGATGAATCAGGCCTGCTTAACCTCAGTGGGCTCTCCCACAGGACCAGGGGCGCCAACTTATAAAAAATATTGGGGGGGCCCATACCGGGGTCCTGCCCCAGGAAGTTTTCTAAGTTCCAGAGAAACACTTCTCCCAGCTCGGGCACTTTCCCTGCAGCTGGGAAAGCGCCATAGCCCGTCCCATCCCCCCCAACCCCCCCACAGCAGCGGCGGCGAGCGTCTCTGCCTCCCCCCCCCCGCTCACCGCCCGGTCCCCACCTCGCAATAAGCAACAGCGGCGGCGGCGCCTCCAGCTCCAGGCCCTACTGCAGCTCAGTGGCAGTAACGCCTCTGTGCAGCCCGCTCGCCGTCGACTCAGGTCCCTAGACTTTGGGATGCCGCGCGGCGGCAACAGCCGAGAGCGGTTGAAGCAAGAAAGAGACCGGGAAAGGGGGTGGGGAGCCCAATCCTGCTCTGTGTGCTTGCTCGTCAGCGGCGCCCGGCAGAGCAGCCCTCTCGGCCACGGTAGCCCGGCTCTCCCAGCCCCCGGGGGCCGCCCTCCTCCCTCGCGCACCCGCAGCGTTCCCGCCCGGGGAGGCGGCGCCCCCAGGAGAGGCGGCGGCGGCGGCGGCAGCCGCCGCGCGCGGCCCGGGTTCCCCTCGCCGGCCGCGGGAGCCAAGGAGCGCGACGAGGGCAGCCGAGGAAAGGAGCGCGCGGCCCCGTCCCGCCCTCGCCACTCACCCTTCTGCAGCGGCCCTGGCGGCGGCGGCGACTCCCGCAGCGCCTTTTCCGCAAGGCCCGGGTGACGTCACCGGCGGAGGACGTTTCCGCTGCGCGCCCAATAATTTTCTTAAATTATTGGGGGGGCAGAGCCCCCCCAATAAAATTTTTGAGGGGGCTCGGGCCCCCTCAGGCCCCATGGAGTCGGCGCCTATGCACAGGACTTTGCAAAGTGTGTGCTAACCACCATGGGTTCCTCAACCTCGGCCCTCCAGATGTTTTTGGCCTACAACTCCCATGATTCCTAGCTAGCAGGACCAGTGGTCAGGGATGATGGGAACTGTAGTCTCAAAACATCTGGAGGACTGAGGTTGAGGAAGCTGGGTTAGAAGAACTGAGCAGGGCTCTGGGTCTCCTTGGCCTGGGCACCAGGCTGCAAGAAGGTAAAGGTGGGAAACTATGGACTGTGCCCCCGTTTTCAGTGCAATAGCAAATCTGTGTCTGGGCTGTACTATTTCAACCTGCAGGTTGGTGCTCACATGAATGAACCAGCCTTCCCCACTCTGATGCCCTCCAGATCCGTTGGGCTACAACTCACATCAGCCCTGGTCAGCATGCTCACATTGGCTGGGGCTGATGGGAGTCATAGTTGAAAATATCTGGCGGGCACCAGGTTGGGGAATATTGACATTCTCTGGGAAATGTAATTGTGTGAGGGCTGGGCAGCTTAGGGAATCTCTAACTGAGAAGTTTCAATCAACACACTCATCAAACAGCACTTATCATAAGTCTTTGGGGGAAGTCACAACAGGGAGAAAACCAATAAAACTCTACAGTATAGATATGCCCATAGCAATCTTGACCAATGCATCATCCCACAACTGAGTGAAAAGGGTAAGTGCTTCTAAACACACAGAAAAGTTACCAGTAAGCAAGAGATGGGTGCTCCTTCAGTGCCTGCGTTGGAAGAGCTGGAAGCTTCTTTAAGTCAGTCCTTACTATTTCATTGCTGAAAAAGAGAGAATCCGAAAAGGAGGATCAGTCTACAAGAAATTAGCCATGAGGCTTGCAATGGCTGGCTGGCTGCTCTGGTTTGAACATCTGTTCCCCTTTAATGAAATGCTGTGGGGTAGCTTTTTTCTTTCCCTTTATTTATTTTGCATCTGGGAGCATAGTAACCTCCCACTATAGTATCAAAATCGGAGCAAAGCTATCACAGATGTCTAGGTTCCTTTTTCTTCCTGCATTTCATAATACTAGCTCTGAATGTAAAAAAACAACACAGGACAGTGTGTTTTCATGGGGAGAGATTATGTGGGGGAAATCTGTATGGTGCAGGAAAAGGGGGTGGGTGGGAGGAAGACGCACACAATAAGACCCCTTGATTTAACTTCTTCCAAAACGCAGCCATTGATTAGAATGTCAGCCGGGGACTCAGGCCCTAACAAGCCTCTCTTCCCTCCCCCTGCAGGGCTTGCTTGAAGTGGGGGGCGGGCGGGGGAGGATTATGCTCAACACTTTTGTGGGAAAAGAAGAGGAAATGTGAACCTTAGCACTAGACACAGGAGAGCACAGCCTGCACATTAAAGAAGGAAAGTTCTTGGAATGGTGGCTGGGGTAGCGCTGCAGGGGGAATTCATGGTGTAGCTGCATGTATGTACTAGGCCAGTTAGTCACTCAGTTAAGGAAATTATGTGACCATAACAGTCAGTTTTAAGGAACTGAATATTTAAATAACACCCCTCCCCCTGAATTGCAGGGGGATCATGACTGAGAGGTCAGCAATGGGAGAAGGAGTATGAAATGTTTCCTCCCCACACAATGGTCCAGAAACAACCAACAACACCCATTCCCCACCCTAACATTTGTGCCTGAAGAAAGAGTGACTGCCCACTTGACTGCAGAGTGTTAGAAGTCTGGGAGCAAAGCTGATATTCCATTTCCAGCTCAAAGCAGAACAGCAATGAATGAGTGCTGATAAGTCGTCTGCAGATGAAGCACCCCCAGAGCTGGCTCTGCCATTAGACAAACTGCCTCAGGCAGCAGAAGCCCCCGAGGCAGCAGCCCCACGGACGCCCCACCATCTCCTCTGCTAGCACGGAAGCACCACCGGCATCTGCTGAAATTACGCAAGATCTTGCACGATTTTGGTGAGATCTTGCCTGAGATGGTGGAGTGACAGGGCAGGCAGAGAAGTGGTGCCAGCAGCAACAGCTGTGGCAGCCGTGGGAGCAGCAGGGCAGGGAAATGTGGTACTTCCCATTTTGCTCCAAGCAGTGAAATGGGGCAGGCGTCACTGAGCACCCCCACAGCACCCACCCAGTCACATTCCATAGAGAACTGAAAACTGCAGTTGTGGTACCATCAGGTGTGGGGCTGTCTGGATTTCACTGCTTCCAGAAGAGATGTGTGGTCTTTCCACAGCAAAGGAAGAACAAACGCATACTTATTGTTTTGTAAAAGTATCAAACAGTAACCAGTATCAAGTACTGTATTTTTCGTCCCATAGGGCGCTCCGGCCCATAGGACGCACCTAGTTGTTTTTTTTGGGGGGGGAAATAAAGGGAAAAAAATTTCCCTTTATTTCCCCCCCAAAACCAGGTCGGGAACAGCAGGATGGCGGCGCTCCGCCTCCCCGCTGTCCCCCGAGTTTGTGAGGCTGGCGCTGGGGAGAAGCACGCTTCTCCCAGCGCCAGCCTCCAAACAAGGTCAGGGAACAGCGGGATGGCGGCGCTCCGCAAGCCTTGCGAGCCCGCGGGAACTCCCGCCTGGCGCGCAAGGCTTGCAGACACCTGCCCGAAGCATGGGGCATCCTCCGGAGGGCGCCCCGTGCTTCAGGCTGCCGCCCGCAAGCCTTGCGAGCCCGCGGGAACTCCCCCCGGGCTTGCAAGGCTTGCGGATAGCTTCCTGAAGCCTGCATTCACCCCATAGGACACACACACATTTCCCCTTCATTTTTGGAGGGGGGAAAGTGCGTCCTATAGGGCGAAAAATATGGTACTGATTCACTCATGACTGCCCTATGGGTAAAATGGAGAGTTTAATGAAAAGGACAGAGCCACTGACATGCACTTGCTTAGACAGGGAAGTCTTTCTTCAGTATGTGATTTGTGCCAATTTGTGGGTGTTATTGTTTTCCTGAAAAACCGGGAAAGCCAGTGCTTATATTCTACAAGTCAGCTAAATCTTTCTTTGCCCCTCTGATAGAAGAACTGTGCCTGAGCCCGTCATCAGCAGTAAAGGATTCCTTGGTCATTTGCCCAAACACAGGGGAATATCAAGATCAGGGAGTTTCCAGAATGGGAGTTTCCAGCCAAAATAGACAATTGCCATGTATATGACAAATTTCACAGTGACTAACAATGCTCCCTCAAAGCTAGGGCTGCCATATGTCCAGATTTTCCAATTTACAATTTTGTGTCTTTGGGTCCCCCTTAAAAAAAACAAACTTTTGGGGGTGCCCTGGTTTTTACTTTTTGAAATATGGCAACCCTATTCAAAACCTCAAAAGGCTTCCCAGAATCATTAACAGCAGCAAATAATTCTTATCGTTGCTTTGTGCCATTTGAATTATGCTATGCTAAAAGCCTTAGAAGGCAATTTTCACACATCATGAAACAGGCCTTGGGTTCTTCCTTCCAGGGGTTCCTACCTGACCCCACAGCAGCCCATGTTGCAAAAAGCCTAGCTTGGCCCGGGGAATTCAGAGCTCACAACTGCGGGCCACCGAAGCTGTTCTCCTGAGGGCCGGCTAAACATGATAGGGCAGCCATATGCATTTATCCACACATCTCCCCCTCTTGTATATAAATTGTAAGTGGAGGGGGCTTCTATTTTTTCATTCCATGAGGAGTGACAACACTCGCTCTTCCTCACTTTATTATGGCTGCCCCCACGCACCATACATTAAACACAGATTCACCCCACCCCACCCAAAGAATCCTGGGAACTGTGGTGCCCCCTCACAGAGCCACAACCCACAGCACCCTTAACAAACCACACTGTCCGGGATCCTTTGTGTGTGTGTGTGTGGGGAGCTGTGCTTCAATGTACAGTGTGTACACAGCCTGTGTATCATTGCTTCAAGCAACTTCCCTCCCAGCTGAGTGAGTCATTGTGGGGAGCAAAATGCCTGAAACAACAGAGGGCAGGGAGGTTAAATGGAAGATGGACTATGCAAACTAGAGGTGAAGCCATTTAAACTTTAAGTAAAAAAAAAATATCCCTTCTGCTTTATAGACATAGACCCTGCAGTACCTAAGTGCAGCTGGGATTTTGTCAAGGCTGAGAGGACCAGTCTGGGAGCAGGGAACCCTATGGCTGCTTCTGAATATATATTTATGTTTCTCTGTATCACAACCCTTTTGACCCACCAAGCTGAACACAGTCTACCAGCCCTGTACTGTGGCCCGTCAGGTGTCTACAAGTAATGTTCTTTTTGCAGGTGAAAGCTGGTTCTGATATATGGATCACAAGTTGCACAGGTCTGCTTTAAATTTAAATTAAATCAGGCAAAATCAGAACATTTTCAGGGGGAAAATGCTAGCAGAACTGCAATGCTATCACTGTCCTTGTGGTGCAATTAAGCAAGGCAGCAAGCTGGCTCCTGTCATTTATTCTCAAACACTAATTGCTTAACTACAATTTCATTTCAAGGAATGAAAATTACAAACTGTACATTTTCATTATGCAAATACATTGCTTAGTGGCAAATTACTCCTCTGCCTTTCTTCCTGTCTGATTACCACCATTTAGTACTCCATAGCTAGATGCTCTTTTCCATCTCCTTCATCTCACTTTCAAAGAGACTCCTTGTGTGGCTTTTGTAGGTGTTGGTGCATCTGATACCTGACAGTTTTTGAGCACTGACACACAGTGGCCTGGTTCATGTATGATGGCAAACCAGAGTTAAGCAAACTGTGACTTATCAAGAACTAGAAAGTGTGCTGGTGCAGGCTGCTCAAATCATGCTCCCCTTCCCTCCGTCTACTTCACATAAGGAAACAAACCAGAGTGCTGGCTTAGGTGTGAACCAGCCCTTGCGGCTTGCTTTTCTCTAAACAAGCCACAGAAGCAAGGGCTTCTTCATTCTTCTAAGGGCTGCTTCATTTCTTTTTTAAAACAAAAAACAAATCAAAACTGACTTGAGTAACAAGATCAGCACTGAGGTTATGTAAATTTGTTTTGGTGGAGGTGGGGATTATCTTAAAACTAGCACTGTAAATTCTTTCTGAAGAACTGCTGAAGGAAGTTACACTACTGATGCTTTATTGATTCTGGGGCTTTCAAATAATTACTGTCTGGCTCTCCTAAGAATCCACAGAATTGAAGAGTCTGTTGATAACAAACGGTGGTTCTCCTAGCTGGGTTTGTTTTGGTAGCCTCCCAGTATTCCTAATTCTAATATGTAGAGACTTCTTTCTTTTTGAAACATTTTTTTTGAAAGTTTTCCACATAAAATACAGTGAGAGAGAGGGAAAAAAAAACCAAGAATAAGAGAAGGAAAAGAAGAAGAAGAGAAGGAGGAGGAGGAGGAGGAGGAGGAGGAGAATAAATACAAAGCCCTCAATTGTATCTTAACCCTCATCCAGACACAGCTCTCCCCAGGGAGCTTCTCCCTTCTCCCCCAGACTCCCACCCTGGGAGATCCTCTCTTCCCTGATGAAGAGACCTTCATCTCCTGTCCATCACCTTCCTGTGTGTAGCTTCGTTTATCCAAATAGAGAATTTCAAAAATAAACAGAAGGAAAGCATAAATTGGAGATCACAAAGAGATAAGAAGAGAAATGAAGTAAGGGGGGGGGGAGGAGGAAAAAAAGATGAACTCCCAATTCTCTGTTTGCTAATTATGTATATGATAATTATTCAAAAATATTCAAAGCATGCACTCCAGGATAACATGTAGAAGTATTATATAGCTGCTTCTCAGTCTGCTAAGTGTTTTTTCTTGATATTCCATCCGAAGCAACTCAGATTCACTGTTATCCACTCAAGAAGTCCTAAAGTAGCTCTTGAATTTTTATTATCCTTAAATGTCCAAGATGGTCTTTTCCCAGTCCAATATGATGCGTTTCTCGCCAAGGGTTCCGACAAATCTTAATAATAGTCCTTTTTTCTCCCCCCCTCCCCCCAAAATGCACACCAATCATCATAGGCTTATAGGCGTTTTGTTGTGCAATCGTACCTTCCCCTTTCAACCACATCTCCATCATCTGTCATCTGTGATCATCTCTCAAGAACTCTGATTGTAAATCCATTTATCTCTCCTGGCATCACAACAGAGTCCTTCATCTGCCTCGTCCTCCAGCTGCAAGGCCATGCAGCCCAATCCAGGGTCAGAGGCTGTCTCACACTCAGGCAGAGGCGATTCTAAATCCTCTCCAACAGGTCCTGTGAGTTCTTTAATCTGAAATATCTCTGATCCAAATTCTCTTGAAATTCTATGCATCTCAGCTTTTAATTCTGTGAACTGCTCATTCAACATTTGTCTTATGCTATCAACGATTGGTAAAGTCTTCAGCATTTTTGGGGGGGCCTTTTTTCTGTTAGGTTTTCCCTTGGCAATCTCCCTTCTAGGATCTTGCATTTACACATTCCTTTCTTCACATAAGGTTAAGGTTAGTCTCCAACGCAAATTCAGCATATACGGTACAAAGATTCATCAGTTATTTAAAGTAAAGATTTCACACAAATTCAAAGCCATTCATCAGATGGGATCTTTCAAGGCCATCAGTAGTTAATTTAAGCCTCTTGATTTATTTTCAAGCCCGTTAATTAGCACTTCTTTGTCACTCATCAGTCCACTTCCATTCTGGGTGCCATTTAACTGGCAGATAGAAAATCCATTTTTTCTTTACTTCCAGTCTTAATAATAATTAAAAGAATTTTGCTGACCTGGTGCTCTAATTAAGAGTTCTTATGCTGTGTGTGGGCTCAACAACTGTCCCTCGCTCAAGATGGTTCTCCACCCACAAAAACTTGTGCCTCCAGCGTGAAGAATGTCTGCTTCTGATCATGTGAGGCTTTATCTCTGAACTCCCTTATCTCAAAAGGGGGTTGTGATAACCAGGATATCTACCTTGGTTATCTTAATCACTGCAAAATTATCTTTGCTGACAGGAGTATTCACAGCCAATGTCTAGACCACCATTATTCCTTCCTGGAAGTTCCCAATATGTAGAGATTTCTCTCCCCTTCTGCATTTGGCAATCCTGCCTTGGCAATCTATTCATTTTCAAGTAGATATGTTCTTAATTGGCAATCTATTTATGTATTTAAGGTATGACAACAGGCAACATTGTATTGATTGGACAGTAGAACGCTGTCTGTGAATGTTTGGCATGGTTTTAACTGCTGTGTTTTTATGTAGCATGCAGGTATGTAGTTTTATTTTATTTTATTTATTTATTTATTTATTTATTTAGAAAGATTTATAGATTGCTCAGGGTTACACAGCCAAGAAATAGTTCAGGGCCCAGTTATCTACAGAAGGGCCTCCTCCAATAGCAACCAACACAATCCTTTAGGCAGCCCCAGCCAGAATATAGGGTGAGGGGCCAGGCAGAGAGGGCTTATCCATTCTATGAACCCAACTCTGCAATGTTCCCCCCTCTTGAGGTGCATCTGTCTCCCGTATTGCTGAATTTCAGACAGCAACTGAATATAGCTTATTCACGTAAGCTTTTACGGTGTAGTAACACAAGGTTTATTCCTCAGAAGAGATGTATGCACCTGTGTTTTAAAATTTTAGTTACAAAAATATTTTAGTTTGTATATATCCTCTTAGCTATGTTTGCAATAGTGTGTGTATTTGATTTATATATATATATATATATATATATATATATATATATATATATATATAAATCAAACTGACATATTGCTGAGGAAGGGTGATCTATAAATATTCAAAATAAATAAATAAATAAATAAATAAATAAATAAATAAATAAATAAATTTAGTTGGCTGGGGTTTTTTTTTGCTGGGCTTTCTGCACTGTGATTTATTTTGCTTTGGTTTTTGAGTTTTATTGTGAACTGTATATTTTATTGTTTGTATAAACTACTCAGAAAATTTAGTTGGCTGAATAGTACAGTGGTGCCCCGCAAGACGAATGCCTTGCAAGATGGAAAACCCGCTAGACGAAAGGGTTTTCCATTTGCGATGCCCTTCGCAAGACGAATTTCCCTATGGGCTTGCTTTGCAAGACGAAAAAGTCTTGCGAGTCTCGCCATTTCCCCCCCGCTCCCCCCCCTTTTTCAAAGCCGCTAAGCCGTTAATAGCCTTTTAACAGCTTAGCCGCTAAGCCTTTAATAGCCGCTAAGCTGCTAAATCGCTAATAGCGCTAATCCGCTTAGCCGCTAATGGGCTTGCTTCGCAAGACGAAAAAACCGCTAGACGAAGAGAATCGCGGAACAGATTCTTTTCGTCTTGCGAGGCACCACTGTATATAAATGTCATAAACAAAATATATAATAAATAAAGGAATATATAATAAATAATTTGTGTATATGAGTAGCATATGAATTGTGTGAGAAAAGTGAAGAAAGGTAGGACACATAAAACACAATATGGTTTTTTATTTTTTGTAACAGATGTTCTAGGAGAATTTTAAATATTGCTGTATTTTTGTTCCAAGTGCTATACTTTGCTTGCTAGCATTGCACCAAAACCGACACAGGCTGGCCACATCTCTTCTGTGGTGTTGCTGCAATAAATCAACTTGCATGCTAAAATATCTAAATACTTCTCCTGGCCCTGTTACTGAACTGCAGTGACTAAGCTAATCTGAAATGCTAGGAGTTGAGAAATATAAACAAGAACAGGCTTGTGTTTCCTAGTCACAAATACGTCAGGATTTCACAAGCTGTTTCAGGTTCTGAAAGGGATGTGTCAGAGTCTCAGTCTGACCTAGAGCAAAGTGTGACCTGCATCGTTCTGTGTTCCTAACGTTTTCAGATTGAGGTGTATTTTACTGCTTAATTTTGGGGGTTAGTTAAAAGTTCTAAATTCTAAATAGTGGCATTTAATAACTGGACTAGAGGGGTGAGTGCAGGCAAATACACCACCTTAGCATGTGCCATAGGTTCAGCTGGGGCAATCATTGTGCTGTGAGCAGACTCACCGGTCCTGAGGGGGCCTAATGCTGATATACAGGATGCAGCTGGCTTGAGGGAGAAACCTAGTAAAGGACCCACCAGCTCTGGGGGCGCTATGCAGCCAACACCTATGCAATCATAAGTGACCTCTTCTTAAGCCAGACCAGGGAGAACTGTAAATGTAAAGCAGTCATTCTTTGGATGTATTTTTAAGGAAACGGGAAGCCAAGTCATTTCCTTAGAGATTTCCTTCTGCTGTATGGAGGAAGACAGTTTTGTGTTTCCTGAATTCCACAAACACATCATTTATGTACAAAGCATGAACAAGCTTTTGCATTTCCTTTATATGCTGTATTTGTGGGTTGAATGACAAGTAGAAAAAATTGACTCTAGGATGTAACAACTATTAAGAGCTATACTACATAATTATAAGGCACATGTTCTAGTTTAACAACAATCATTTTTCCTTTAAAATAATTAACTGAAGAATATGGATGCAAAACTCACCTTGAAAAATCTCCTTTTGCTTCCTGTAAAATTGTGAAAAGGGGGCAGAGCATAAAACATCACTTAATTTGCATATACACATGAAGAAAAATACATTTCTAGATACGTCAAATAAAAGCATTCCAAAGCATTTTAAATGACCCCATCTTCAAAACAAAATGTCATCATTGTGTTTACAACTGTCAACTTTAAGAAGCCTGAATAGGTGGCTGATGGGGGTATCCTGGTGATTTAATGTACTGTCCCAATACATGCACCTTAAGGAAGGGTGAGGCAACTTCAGCCTTTCTCAATCAGAATCCCCATGGATTCATGTTTTAAATTAACAAAGAAGTCTTCATATTCAGAATCTCTGGATAGTTAAAGCCATGTTAGTTAAAGACTGGATAGTTAAAGACTAGTGTGCTAAGTGATTATGAGTATGCAATCTTGCTTAGGAACATAGTAAGTGTTGCACAGGGTCAGATCCAGGGTCTATCAAGCCCAGCACTCTTTACAATAGGAAACCTGTGGCTCTCCAGATGTTGTTGGACTTCAACTTTCATCATTCCTGCCCACTGACCTTGCTGGCTGGCACTGACTCGAGTTGTTCAGCCATTCCTGCTTTACAAGAATCCTAGCAACAAGCATTAAGGCTACCCACTGAAAACTAGGCAGTGGTCCACTGGTAGGCCATACTTTGCCTTCTGACCACTCTGATAGAGCACAGTTCTCTAAAAGCAAGACACAACACTACACCACAGTCTCCTCCCCCGCTTAGTCAAGGGAAATTAAGGAACTATAATTCTATGAGGGTGTGAGGATCTCTAACATACCTTTCTTACAAACATTACAGAATCCCTGAATTCTTTGGAGGAAACTATAATACTTAAACATCAGGCATGCAAATATCTGCAAACCTAGTCACCTGGAACGAGTGAGAACTGACTACAGGTGACCAGGCAGGAAAGATAGGGCAAATAAGAAGAAATCTGGATAATTTTTCTGTAGTCTGTTGATGTGCCAACATAACTGTGTGTGGAAACCAGGCTTGTAAAGGTTTTGTGGGCTAATAACTTTTGCAAACTTATGTGCAAAGCTGAATTGAAAGTCTCATATTGTAGCATAGATGCGGCCCAATATTCTGATGTAGCCATGACATGAGGTTAACACCTAAAAGTTTGTTTATCTTCTAAAGACTGGCCTCATACCAACCTTGTGCAAGCAGAGACGTGGTCCAAGCAGAGACTTGGGATTCCTTTAGTAAGTTAAGTACATTTGGGACAGCTCAGTTTCTTATTTTATTTTCCTTTGGACACAATATATTTTCACAACATTTGCACTTCCTAAGCAACCACTCAAGGGAGCACAAAATGTTTGTTTTAGATGTCTTGCATCTGGGAACATTGTGACTTAACTCTGACTATCAATCCTTACTATCGAAACTAAGTTCTGCACTTTTGCTACTGTTTTCCATTAGAAGAATGTGCAATTTTGGATTGTGAAGTGCCAGGGCTCTGATCTGGAAACAGGCAGGGCTGAATAACAGACCCCTTCTCCTAGAACCAGGGCTGTAGCCATAGGAGGGCAGTGAGAGAAGGACAGAAAACACACGTAGGACCTGATCTGCCTTAGGGATGCCCAGGCCTCTTCCAGGAATTTTCTGCTTCAGAGTTTTTTGGGTTTTTTTAATAAAGCTCTAAGCTGAAATCCTAAACATGGGTATGTTTACTCATGGTTATGTTTACTCAAAAGTAAGTCCCAATGAATTTAGTGGAGCTTTGTCCCAGGTAAGCAGGGTTAGGATTGCAGCCATTATGCATACAGAAACACATGAAAAATATTTGTGAAATGTTTGGGCAGCATAATTACTATCAAATTGCTCAATGAACCAATGGGTACAAAGGCAGTAAAATAGGCGCCAAGCACTTGATACACATTTTATATCAATATTAGTCAATATTGCTGTTTCACAATGACTTTTACTGTCCCCTTCCCCAAACAGAGCTAAGTTTCCCCAAGCCAGAAGCCTAGTTTTAGGCCAGCCTAAACCTGTAAAAGTTTCGTTTTTTCCAATTCCAGCCATATTACACTCCTGACAGAAGAACCAAGTCTGACAGGGTCTCTCTTGGATTTTTATATTCAACAGAGTTTGATTTTTAAATACATATTCAACACTTCGCTATTGGAAAATTCTGTAAATTGTATATTCCCATACCCCAGTATACCTCTTGATCTCCACTTAGTGACTCAATAGTGCTTATCAAAGTGACTGTGTAATTCTTAAATTCAGAAAGGACATTGCTAAGCAAACCTCCCTGCATTTAACTGAATGATTTTCAGGAGTAAATAATAGAAGGGAAGTTCTTTGCTTCTTCCCTAGAAAAGAAGATCTCTCTGTGATAAAAGTCAGTTTGGCAGGTGCCAGAAAGGAAAATGTGGCTTCCAAAACAACTATCTGCAAGGCTTGAAGTAGGTCTTCCTTTCCCTTTGAAAGAAGCAATACATTAGGCTCATAGAACATTTGGCTGACCAAGCTCTAACGCAACCAAGCAGCTATATATGGTTTTGCTGTCTGGCAGGAACTGAAGAAAAAGGGGAGGGGGGTGGTGAAAGTTGCCAAGCAGGTCAGGCTGTG